TGGGGATGTGCCCACAACCAAGGTACATGCCCTTGACCAGAATCGAACCTGGGACCTTTCAGTCCACAGGCCGACGCTCTATCCACTGAGCCAAACCAGTTAGGGCCTAAGGTCAATTTCTAAAAGTATAGATGCTAGATCAGAATATAGGCCGATTGGTACAGCATAAAGTTTCTCAACGTCTTTTGAGAAATGTGACTATGTTGCTGTCCTAAAAGGACCTCTCAATGGACCTTCTCACCTGCCATGTTTGGGGGGACATATTTGGGCTGAGTTGTCTCTTTTTTTGCTTATTTAAAAAGGCCTCGGTGGCAGGAATATAGTGTAAAAATCGTTGGAAAAACTAAAAGGCATCGATACATATCCGAATATACACTTTGTCCATAAATCACACTTCCTTTAGTCTTCCTGAGTGAGGTCCTGATTCAGCACCGAGGTCTAGTGACTCAGAGGTCCCGGCAGCTGCACGTTCAGGCCGGCATAGTCCACCGTGTACACGGGCCGTGGCTGACGCCCCCTCCTGGCTCCAGCCTGCCCCCCATCCTCGCTCTAGCTGACCTGACACACTCAGTGTGCTGTGGCAGTATGTGGGCTTCCGGAAAGGATGCACCAGGCAGGCCGGCGACCTCAACGGCATCTAGGCTGTCCCGGATCCGTTTGTAAGGGACCAGCACAGGCCGGTTCAGGCCCAGGCACAGGACCTCACCTCAGCTGCAAGCTGATCCCTGGCCCTGGTGCGTAGGCAACCAATCAATGTGTCTCTTTCACATCGCTGCTTCTCTCTCTGAGCTGAGTTATCTTTTTCTTTTTCTTTCTTTCTTTCTTTTTTTTTTAATTTTACCCAGAATGCGTCCTTTCCCTCTCCCCTCCCAAGAAAGGGAGGAACAATCGTCAATGGCAAGTGGCAGCTGCAGGAGTAACACCAAGAGCCGGTTTCACGGTCAAGAGAGGACTCTGCATCTCCTCCTTGTGGTTTCGGGTGCTCTACACGTTCAGAGAAACTTCACTGATAACGAACTATAGAAATGATCCCTGAAAGTATAGTCTTGTCTTTTAATTCACTGCCTTATTTTGTTCTCTCATAGGGAACAGAATGAGGTTAAAATACCTTAATTTGGCAGATTTTACGAAAGCCCATGACCATGTGAACATTTGGTAGGGTGCCTTCCAGGCCTCAGCGTCCCATTTGAAGGTCGGGAATGACAACAATGGTGTGGGCCTCAGATTCTTCCCTAAGGTCTATACCTGTGACCAGGGAGTATTTGAGATGCCTGATCTCCTATTTTGGAGGCGAGGGGAGATTCGTCTGCCCTCAGTTTGCCTCACTTTCTTACTCTGGGAATGAGGCTCAGCTTTTAAAAATGCTGTTACTTATTTTTAAAAAATAGAGAATACATTTATAAAGTATAGAATCCAAAAAGTAAATAGAATATTTTCTAAAAAGCTTTTATTCTGTCCCCCAGCCAGCCCAGTAGCCACCACGGGGACTAGTTTCTGGCCGGTGCTGCCAGGAAAGTTCTGAAGCAAGCAAATATGCATAGAGAGAACACCCTTTAGCTTAAATGGAAAAAAACAAAATACAGCCCTGGGGTGCACAGAAGATAGGGAACTGACATCTGAGGCTAATTTCATCTTGGTTTCGAGTGGAGTGAAGAAAACACAGCCATGGTCAGGATGCTGGAGGAGGCATGGAAACAGCCTCAGGGCAAGATGTTATTTGCTCACGTGCTGGGTCAGGATAAGGTCATAATAACCCTCCAGCTCCCTCTGATCTGGGCATAGTAATGACAGCTTGGCCACCTTATTTTTATGGGCGCTCCTCCCCCCCCGACCCCCGTACCTGGTCAGGGATGGGGAGGACTGGGATGCTCTCAAGCTCTCCGAATTGACACCAGGTACTTAACAAATCCTTGAAGACAGGGGCACCACCAATATGTTGTTGGCAGGTGAAGCTGCTCAGACTTCGAGAATCTGAGTTGCCCAAATAATCTCACTTTGTGAGGCCACACTTGGAGTCCAGGGGAGGGTCCCTCTGCCCTCTGTTTGCCTCACTTTCTTACTCTGGGAATGAGGCTCTGCATTTAAAAAAAAAAATTGATTTTGGAGCAGGAGGAAGGGAAAGAAAGAGAAACATACCTGCAACCTAGGTATGTGCCCTGACTGGGAATCAAACCCGTGACCTCCCAGCGCATGGGATGATGCTCCAACCAACTGAACTACCTCGGCCAGGGCAGAGGCTCAGCATGTGAGCAACACTTTTTGTATTATTTTATTTGTTTTAAGATCCAGGGTATGCAGGACAGAGGCAAGCTTTGAAGATGCCAGGGCCAGCAGGGCCTGTATGGAGGCATCTCAAATATCCCCACCCCTGATCAGAGGTGTAAATCTTAGGGAAGAATCTGAGGACCACATCATTGTTGTCATTCCCGACCTTAAAATGGGGATGCTGAGGTCTGGAAGGCACCCTAGCAATATGTTCACATGGTCATGGGCTTTTGTAAAATCTGCCAAATCAAGGTATTTTAACCTCACTCTGTTAAAACCACCATCTCTTTTCAGGCTTACTTCCCCTTGTGTCAGATGATGTTGGAGTGAGTGCTAGCATTTTGGGGATCTGGCTAAGATGCCCGTGACATTTCATTTGGGTTTCGTGGTTTTATTTATGTTGTTTCCAGTAACTTTTATGAATAAATTATTACCAACTGACCTAGTATAAGAATGGCTTCCAGGAATGCCCCGACTTACCACACTGAGTTGACTCAAATGCCACTGTGATGTGAACATGCGAGTCAGAGGTTATATCTCTATACGTAAGAGGTTACATGTTTGTGGAAAGCATTATGGAGGTAATTCATAAAAGTAGTGTTATTTTTTGGTAATGTTTGTGGAACTTGTCATTTGCCATGGTTTCTTTTATCTTTCTAACCTAATAATCACTTTATTATCCAATTTTATATTTGTAGTTCTTTTCCTTTTTTTCTTTTTAAAAAATATATTTTTATTGATTTCAGAGAGGAAGAGAGAGAGAGAGAGATCAATGATGAGAGAGAATCATCGATTGGCTGCCTCCTGCATGTTCCACACTGGGGATCGATCCCGCAACCCAGGCATGTGCCCTTGACCGGAATCAAACCTGGGACCCTTCAGTCTGCAGGCCGATGCTCTATCCACTGAGCCAAACCAGTCAGGGCTGTAGTTCTTTTCTTAAATAAGATTTCCTAAATTGTATAAACCCTGGGAAGTACACAGGCTGGATCTGCCCCTGCTCAGTTTTCTCTGTGTCTTTTAGGGTCACAGGACCCTCCTTGCCTTTCCTCACTGTTACCACCAAACAGGTTTTGCACATTTACATGTGGATATAACAAAATATTTCAGAAGACTCCTGCTGGATCCACACAAACCTTTGTTTTCTCATCTATAGAATAGGAATAATAGGATCTATCTTCTCAGATAGTAATAAAGTCAAGTGAGAAAACACGTATAAGGCCTCAAGCACAACCTGGCAGAGGGCACAGTTAGAGCCAGGTTTAATGTTTTGCTGGTCCTCACAGATATAGTCAGATGCCCTGTTTCTGACAGTATTTGTTCTGACTTGGTAGGTGCCCAGGCCAGGACACCCAATCATCGTTAGCTATTGGTATATTATTAGTCCCCTCCCCTGTGTACCCAAGGCATGTACACACAGTAAGTGCTCAATCATTGGCAATCCAAGAATTTGAAAGACACTAACTGGTTCTAAATTGAGCCATGCCCTAGACCAGCGGTTCCAACCGGTGGGTCGCGACCCCTTTGGGGGTCGAGTGACCCTTTCACAGGGGTCGCCTAAGACCATCGGAAAACACATATATAATTACATATTGTTTTTGTGATTAATCAATCACTGTGCTTTAATGTTCAATTTGTAACAATGAAAATACATCCTGCATATCAGATATTTACATTACGATTCATAACAGTAGCAAAATTACAGTTATGAAGTAGCAACGAAAATAATTTTATGGTTGGGGGTCACCACAACATGAGGAACTGTATTAAAGGGTCGCGGCATTAGGAAGGTTGAGAACCACTGCCCTAGACTCAAACAGTGACTCATAGCTATGAAATCTCCTCATCTGTAAGAGCCTTTTGAGTTAACTTATTCTAATCCTATTAAAAAATTTTTGGACATGTTTAAATGTTGGAAATTTGGAAAATCCAGAAAAGCCAAAGAAAAAATAATGAACTGCTGTTATTATAAATGATTATACATCTATAATGTGATGCTATGATTATGTATTTAATACATATGTTGTACATGGTGCTTTGAAACATACTTTAAAACAAACACTTTCTTGGCATTTTCTTTAAATATCTTTTAACAACATAGTTTTTAATGACTGCATAATATTCCTCATCAGTAAGTGGGGTTAATTAAAGGTACCCATCTCAAAGGGTTATGTCATGAGCACTGACCAGAATGGATTTTTATAACCAATCCCCTTTCGCTGAGCATTCAGGTTATTTCCATTATTTTGCTATGATACATAACGCTGGGCTATATTAATCTTTGCTCAAATCTTTGGTCATTTCCTTAGTAAATGTCAAGATTGCTGGGTGTGCACATTTTAAAAGGAACCCACTCACTGTGGTGCTGTTAAGGGTACTGAGAGGGAAAGGGGTTTGCCCGGGCTCATATAGCGAGTTAGCTGCGAAGTCCGGACTAGGAACCAGCCCCGGGACCCTAAATGGTGCCTCACGCAGCTGGGAACCAGGAGAAAGTCCAGCTTGAGCATTAAGGCGCCGGGCTAAGGCCGCCCCTGGAAGAACAGGAGGCCGGTGCGAAGGGGCGGGGCGGGGCTGCCGAGCTCCGGCTCTGCGGACCAACCTAAGTTAAACGGTCGCCTGGCAACACGGGCGGCGCGGCGTTCGAACGGAAGCGAGGAACCAATCAGGATGTCCGGGGCAAACCATTTTCGTGACGGGGGTGGAGGGGGAAGGCATGCTCACTTCCCCTTCCTCTGCGCACCAGGACCTTCGTTCCGGTGGGGGCCTTGCGACAGTCGGGTCCCCCCCGCTCGTCTCGGGTGCGGAGGACCGCTCCGAAGAGGTCCCTCTGCGGGTCCTCACGCGGGACTGGCCCCCGAGCGGCGTTGGGCGTGGCCATTCCCGGGTCCGAGCTGTCAGCCTCTCCACCACCCGACCTGGAAGAGCCGGGACTCGCCTAGGGTGGGCTCCAGGTGAGGGCGCAGGTGGTCCGGGGCGCGAGCTCGGTCTGGGGGGCCCCGCTCACCGAAAGCCTGCGTTGTGTGTCCTCCCCGCGTCATACCTGCGTGAGAGGGGCACCTGGTGGTCTTAGCAGCGGGGACCCGGCCCATGGAGCCCTGGCTGGATCACCCCCCTCTGTCCCTTCCCACACCATCTTTGGGTGCCTTTTCTGGGCGTCTGTCTGCTCCTGTGCGCCAGGGATTGGACTTGGTTCTTCTGCCCACGAGGTTTTGAATTACAGCGCTGTTCCCGAGAGGCCCGCTCCGGGAGTATCTGGCGGGACTGGCGTTGCTGGGCTAGAAGCGGCGTGGGCAGCAGGTGCTCTGACCCCGGAGTCACTGTTGTGCTCTTGTGGACCCGGGGAAAGGATAGAGGCAGCCCCTCAACGGAAGCCAGAGCCACCAGAAACACTAGAGACTTTGGAGTTGGGGGTGGTGCAACCTGGGGAGCTTCTGACCTCGACTGTGTCCTGCCTCCTGGCCGCCCCCACCCTCAGCCCCCGCCCCCAGGTTGCTGTTCTTAGTGTCCTTTTGCAGGTGGGGAAACTGAGGTTCTCAGAAAATAAGCCCCTTGCCCAAAGTCACACCAGCAGACTTGGCACCGCTGGGGTTGGCTCCCAGTCTGTCTGGCTTCAGTATTAGAATTCTAGGCGCTCAGAGTCATAGCATCTGAGAGTCTTGGATTTCTTTAAGGGCAGGTATCCTCTCTCCTCCTGGCTCTGGGGAGGGAAACTCAGGGGACTCAGAAGGAACAAGTCATTCATTCATTCATTCATTCATTCTTTCAACAAATCTTTATTGACTTCATATGCCCTGCCCTCCCCCTTGTCTATTTTGTAGCAGTTACCCCATTTGATGTCCTATATATATATATGTCACTTTTTAGTGAGTTTATTCTCTTTCCTGACTGGCATGTGATGCAAGGAGGGGGTTTAGGATGAGGTAAGTGAGGTACTTGCCTCCAAAGCGAAATTGAGGGGGTGCCCCAAACCTCTGTGATCAAAGCAACTAAAGTCGACATTTATTGACCGTTTGTGGTATGTTCTGCTGGCTGAAGATAGCTCGTATGGCCTCTATGCAACACAGTTCCTCCCATTTCTGTCACAATTACAAGTGCATCCCTGAAGCCACCTGTCCTGCTTCCAGGCAGAGTGATGTAGGTGGAGTTATGCTGCAGTGTGGTGCATAATAAGGAGAGACTGGACACAGACTAAATTGCATCAACAGAGGCTGCTGGGCTCTTTATGTACGGAGGTGGCACAACATATATTAGCAGCAACATATACTATTAAGTGTATTAATAACATTATAATTAATATAGTAATAACATATTATTAAGAACAACATATATTATTGAGTAAGAAGAGCATGATGAAAACAGTACATACAGCATGTTACCATATGTGTAAAAAAGAAAGAATACAGGGTATTCCCCCAAAAAACAGTATACACATTTTAACAGCTGATAGCTCAATTTTGAATACAGAATGTATTTCATAAACATGGCCTTTATAATTATTCAAAGTGTGTGTATACATTTTGGGGGGCCACCCTATATCTGTCCATTATTGCCTATATCTGCCTAAAATCTCCCTGGAAGGACACATTGTCTGGTGATAGTGGGGCCTGCAAGGAGGGGAATGGGTGGCTGGGAACAGGAGTGGGAGGGAGTTTATTTTTACTTCTTGCCCTTTATAGTTCTTGAATTGAGCCATGTGCATATATCACCTGGTTGAAAAATTGTATATCTGTATCTGTTAGATTATATATTTAATCAAAAGACCACTGCCCTGTCTGTGATCTGTCACTGACTTGCTGTGTGACTTTGGGCAAGTTTCTTTACATTTCTGGTCTAAGAAGCCATAATGGTGAGTTCAGGCCTGGGAGAGGGCAATTCAGGCTGGGAAGTGGGCTTAGCTGTGGGTCTTCCCCAACCTCCCCCTTCCCCATCCTGTGTGCCGGGCCCTGCCCTAAGGCTCTGCATCTGGTGTCTCTCATGCTGTCTCCACTGCAAACCCCTTTGTTCCCATTTTGCAACCTCAGGTACAAACGGAGGCTCAGAGAACTGAGTTGGCCTGCACTGGGCCAAATAGAAGATTGCTGCCTTAGGTGACTGCCCCCGCGTCCTTCCCACAGCCTGCTCACCTCTGCCTTCCTGAGGCTTGTGCAAGGCTGCCCTAGGCAGGACTGACTCTGGGCAAGGCTGACGCCAGGCAGGTCAGGGCACGAGCGTCTAGGGAGACTCCAGAAATAGCGTGGGGCCTGGTGTGGCCCCGGGGGATGCCCAGCTAGCCGGGTGTCTCTGACCCTGACAGCTGGGCTGAAATTGAGCTGGGCTACCCTACTGGTCAGCCCCCTTCCTGCTGCTGGGAGCCCTCCTGATCCTCCTCTAAGGCAGGTGAGGGCCTCCCTGTCTCCACCCAAGTCTGGGCTTGGCTTCTGCTCATGAGAGAAGCAGGTGGAAGGAAGGGGTGGGGGTGGGAGTGCAGAATGTCATGGAAATGATAAACATCAGAAACTATACCTCTGCCCCCTCATCAAAGAATGAAAATCACTAATACCTCTTGAGCGCTCACTGTGTGCTAAGTACTTTATAAGTGTGAACTAATTTAATCCCTCAGTAATGTAAGGTCGTTACCACTGTTATTATTTCCACCTTACAAAGTGAAACGGAGCACTAGAGAGATTTAGTAACTTGTACAAGGCCACCTGGAGCTGGAACTCAAAAGCATGAAGTTTGGCTCCAGACTCTATATATTCATATTCATATTCATCCTCTCTCTCTCTCTCTCTCTCTCTCTCTCTCTCTCTCTCTCTCTCTCTTTTGTAAAATGTATTTAGATAAAGTTGACCATTTTAACCATTTTTTTAGAAAATATATTTTTATTGATTTCAGAGAGGAAGGGAAGAGGGAGAGAAAAATAGAACCATCAATGATGAGAGAGAATCACTGATCAGCTGCCTCCTGCACGCCCCCCACTGGAGATTGAGCCCGAAACCTGAGCATGTGCCCTTGACTGGAATTGAACCCAGGACCCTTCAGTCCACAGGCTGACACTCTATCCACTGAGCCAAACCAGCTAGGGCGATTTTAACTATTTTTAAGTGTACAGTTCAGTGGCATTGAGCACCTTCACATTGTGCAACTATCACCACTATCCACCTCCAGAACTTTTTCATCTTCCCAAATGGAAATTTTATATTCGTTAAACACTCTCCATTCTCCTCCCTTCTAGCCCCTGGTAACCACCATTGTAGTGTCTGTGTATGAATTTGACTACTGCAGGTACTCTGATCACTGGCACCACACAATATTTGTCTTTTTGTGTCTGTTTATTTCTCTTAGCATGTCTTTAGGGCTTGCTTATGTTATAGCAGGTATCAATTTCATTCCTGTTTAAGGCTAAATAATGTTCCATTGTATGTATATATAACATTTTATTTAATCCATTAATAGTCACTTGGATTGCTTCTACCTTTTGGTTATTGTGACTAATGCAACTATGAACATGGTTGTACATATATGTGTTCCACTTCCTGGTTTCAGTTCCTTTAGGTAAATACTGAGAAGTAGAATTGCTGAATCCTATGGTAGTTCTACTTAAAGTTTTTTGCCTAACTGACGTACTTTTCCCACATTGGCTGCACCATTTATATTCTGAACTGTGCACAAGGGCCCTAGTTTCTCCACATCCCCAATACTTGTTATTTTCTGTATATATTTTTTATAATGGCCATCTTAATGGATGTGACATGGTATCTCATTGTGGTTTTGATTTACATTTTCCTAACGATTAGTGATGTCGAGCACCTTTTTATGTGCTTATTGTCTGTTTATTCACCTTCTTTGGAGAAATGTCTATTCAAGTGACTCTGCATTTAGATTGATAACCTCTGACAGAGGGGTGAACATTCTGGACTGACGAAGGCCTCACCCAGGAGCACCTGGTTGGTGAATAGTTATCACTGTCACACTTTGGTGGCGTTTGTCATGCACAAGCCTCGTGCTGGGAGAGGGCACGAGAGAGCAGTCTGTTTTACAGTTGAGGAAATGGAGGCATGGAGGAGCTGAGTAGCTGATCACTGGTGGAGCTGGGACTTGACCCCAGGCAGGCTGGCTCCGGAGTCCATGCTACAGAGCTGGTGAGGGAGATGGAGTGGAAAAGGGCAGTGCTGGCAGCAGACCCAGTGTGTGCAGAGGTTTGGACGTGGTGTCTGGAGGTTTGGAGACAACAGGGCTCAGTTAGAAGTGGCCGGAGCCTACCTTGAATGGGAGTGATTTGAGGCTGGAGGAGTGGGGCAGGTTGGGGAGGGCCTGGGGCAGAGTCGGGGGGCTGGAAGGAGGCTTGGTGCTGAGGGGCCTTGGCCTTTGAGGTAGCCTGGTTCCAGTCCTGCCCCTTGGTCAGAGTTGTCCCCTCTGGTGTTTGATCCCTGGAGGAAGAGAGTATGGAAGAGTGTGATGGAGTTCCCAGCCCAGTGCGGGGAAACATATTCCCAACAGTGTACAAGGGTTCTAGTTTCTGCATCACCAATACTTGTTATTTTCTGTTTTTGGCTCCACAGCCAAGCCCACTTCCTGGCCTGAATTGCCCTCTTAATACATTTTACAAATAGGAAACAGGAAACAAGTGACAAATAAGTGAACATCTAAAACGACAGGGTGTGATGAATGCTTGGAAGGGAACAGACCAGGTGAGAGAGTTGGTGGGAGCCTCAGAGTGGGCAGGGAGTTCTCTCTGAGGAGGTGACATTTGAAGTGAGACCTGAAGGAGATGAGAAAAGAGGTTCCAGGCAGAGAACGGATGGTACAAAGGCCCTGAGGCAGGAAAGAGCTTGGCGTGTGCAGGAACAGCTAGGAGGGCTATGTGGCCGGAGCAGAAAAGTGTGCCGATAAGGTGGGACAGGAGGGCAGGGACTGGATCTGGGAGGGCCTGAGGGCCCAGGGAGAGTTTGGACTTTATTTTCAGGTGATGGGGAGCCACAGCGGGTTTTCGGTAGAGCAGTGAAGGGATCTAATTTCTGTTGGGAAAACATTGCTATTATTGCCCCTATTTTAGAGTTGAGGAAACAGACCCAGAGCCATAGCCAGGGAGTGCTTCCTGAAGCAGCTCCACTCTCGGGGGTCCAGCGAGGGAGCCTGTAGGTTCCTTAGGAGACCCTTGGTGAGTGGCCGAACCCAATACTGGAGACCTGTTCTCCCTCCTCCCCCCAAGACCCATATTCGGGTTCAAATCCTGGCTCTGCCAATTACCAGTTTTGTGACTTCAGGCAAGTGGTCCCACCTCTCTGTGCCTCAGTTTTCTCAACTGTAAAACAGGCATACTAGTAGTACCTATCCCGCAGGGTGGGTGTGAGGATTAATCGAGTTAACATATATAGAGAGTGTAGAAGAGTGCCAGGTACGAAGAAAGCACTCAGAAAAATTCTTACCGACTTTATTCTGAACAGTATTATTGTTGCTTTGCTTTTACTACTATTAGTGCCTAACTGAACCCTCTCCCACCTCATTGTTGTGCCGTGGAGGGCCAGGCAGGGTATCCCGGTGGAGCTAGGCGAGAGCTGGAACTTGTTGCCAGCAGGCTACTGTGGGGAAGGATGGTCTTGTTCCATCATTCAGGCCCCAGGGCCTGGAGGGGGCATCAGGGTTGACTCACTCAGTGTAGACAGCGGTTCCCTGAGTCACTTCCTCTCTCCTCATGCCCTCCACCCCAATTCTGTCTTAGCCTCTCCAGGCACAGACATGGACCTCTTTAGTCTCCCCAGGGTTGGGGGGCGGGGGGGGGGTACTTCCTTCTCTAGGCCTCAGGATCCCCATGAAACTGGCCTGATCAAATGTGCCACCTGAAGTGACTTAACTTAGGCTGGCAGAGCAGACAGTCGGCTCCCTCCCGGGATTCCTTCCTTCCAGCAGGGCTACTACCATCTCCTCAGAAAATGGGGATGAAATAGTTCCTGGTCTGGGGAGTGGGGAGATTGTCCAGAGATTTAAGTAAGTACAGTGCCTGGCACTCAAAAATTGTAGTTACCACTATTACTCTTATTGCTGTTGTAACTAATGTTTACAGCTTGCTCAAAGCTTCTACAGGTACTCTCAGACCCCAAGAACTCACACTGACCCGGCCTGGAAGGTGGGATCCCCTCTTTGGAGGGTCAGAGAGGTTAAGCAATGGGATCAGGGACACACAGCTAGAAAGGGATCGTCCAGAGGGAAGGTGCCCAGGTTGGACTCCTCCGGGTTACCTTGGGCAGCTGATTCAGCCTGTCCCAGCCTCAGAATTCTGTTAGTCAAGTGGGGATAATAATAGAGCTCAGCTCATAGGAGTTGTTGGGAAGATTAAAATGGGTTAATTGATACCAGGAAAAGCACTTTCTCACGCGTGGCACAGTGAACTTAAACGGTGGTCACTGTGGCGGTGGGAGGGGACTCAGTTTCTCTGTCTCCGCAGTGGGCACGCTTGCGGGAGTGGCCACGGGGACTCGCGTGGACGGGGCCAGTGCAGCTGTGAGAGCGCCCGGCTCCCGGGGAGCTTCCCGAGTGGGTCCCGGGACAGGTCCAGGCGCCCCGCCCACTACAGCGCGTCTGGGCTCGGGTTCTGGCCGCTGCTGGCGTGCGTTCACTCTTTTTTGGGTAATACCTGGGTCGACGGGTTCGCCAGCTCGCCGCCGGCCACCGGAAGTTGCGCAATGCTTGTTACCTGAGCCCAGGTGGGCCGGGCGGCGGAGCGCAGTGTAGCGGCGGTGCAGCCAGGTACGTGCGGGCACCCCTTACTCCTCGCGACGGCGGGGGCCGGGCGGGGGCTCACCTTCCGGCCTGGATGGATGCCGCAGACATCGTGCCGTCAGGCCCCTCATTTCCGAGCCAGGCCAACCCGGGCTCAGAGAGCGGTGACCATCGGCCGGAGTCGGCAGCGCGCCGGGCCGCGGCCTCTTCCACGGCAGGGAGTTCCCAAGATCGCCCCGCAGTAGGGAAGGGTAGAAGCCAGACCGGGATCCGAGCTGCGCCCGCTCCCTCTCTCCTCCTGAGGCTCCCTCGCGGAAGCCGGTGGGAAGGGGGCAAGGTGGGACTGAGTGCCCCAGAGATGCCAACAAGAAGGGCCCGGGGCCGCGCTTTTGGGCGTTTGAAATCCGTGGTGCGGCGTTGGGCGATGGAAGGAGGCTCGGAGCCTCGGAGAGGACCAGTCCCACCTGGCACTGGGACCCTGGCTTCAGCTCGCAGGAGCCGCCGCACTCCGTTTGCCCACCTGTGAAATGGGGCTGGCGTAGATGGCTCACGGGTTAGCCTCTATCCTGTGCCCGCGAACTGAAGCCAGGGCCCCAGTGCCAGGTGGGACCGGTCCTTTCTGAGGCTCCCAGCCTGGACCTCCCTTGTTCGCGGCCCCTTCCTGAGTGGGTTAGAGACCCCTGCGAGGGGCGGCTGCCGGGGAGGGGGCGGGGGGGTTTGGGGGGGGGGGGAGGGAGGGAGGAGGGAGCCAGGTCTGTGGAGTTTGGGAAACAAGGAGCCCGGGTCATGGGGAGTCGCCTTTTGCCGGATGCTGAAGAAAGTCCGCGAGCTGTTTTGTGTCTCCATCCTCCTGGTGACCTGGAGGTCTATTTTTAACCACATTTCACAGATAAGCAAACGGAGTCTCGAGGAGGCGCGGCTGCTTGCACAAAGCGCGCAGCCGGTGGTGGCCAAGCCCAGGCAGGTGTCTGTCCAGGGGAGGCCCCGGGCCGGCAGGTCGGGCCCGAGGGTGTAGGGACCCCAGCCGAGCTGGGGGCGAGCGTAGCTTCTGCCCTGGCCCTGCCCATCTGACCCCCTTCATCCCTGATTCCCCGATAGTGGGATCGTGCCCTGAACCACCGTCTCCGGACGGGTTGGACTGGTTTGGGAGGCGGCAGGCCCGGGGGTGGGGCAGAGTCTAGCTACTTGGACAGGGCTCAGCAAGGCTGCCTTTCCTATCAGACCCTTCTCTCCTGAGGTCTCCTGGAGGTCGGCCCTCGGTGGGACGGCCATTTCCCACCCAGTCCATCCCTTCCACCTGGGGAGCAGTTCTGGCGCTGGGCCAACAGCCCCAAAGGTTCTGTTCTCAACTTGCCATTGCAGCAAGGGTTCCAGACGGGCTGGGGGCCAGATGGAAGGGGGTGTGGTGCATGTTTTGTTTGCCCCGTACATACAATGTTTTTAAAGTTATTATTATTGAATATGCTAATTTTTAAGAACCCAGAGTTTTCCTGCACTTCTGGATTTCCAGCTTCCTAGAATATCCAACATGTACCACCTTGGACCCATTGCCTGCAGCAGACTGGGTGTGCCCATTCACATTGGGCCCCCATAGACATTTCAAGTCAATAAAACTGTACTGAATACCTATTATGCGTCAAGAGTAATATCGTGAAACTTAGAAACAGTGAACAAGATACCCCCCTGCCCTCGTGGAGCTGATATTTTAGAGGAATGGGAACAACAAAACGTAAAACTACCACAGACATAATAGATAAGTGAATTCAGCTTCCTGTGACTTGGGTCTTGTTTAGCTGCTCTGGGACCGAGGCTGGTCACTTCTCTGCGTCTCAATTTCTCCATTTATAAAATGAGGAGACAACGACCCATCTCCCTGGCTTGCTGGAGGATTACAGGAGAGGACAGTGTTAAATGTCTAGCAAGCACACAGTAGAGATCCCTGCCTCCCCATCCCAATCTAGACTTTCCCTCCTGGAATTCTGGATGTGTAGGTGGCGCTGCCCAGTACATTCTGTTAAGATGGAAATGCTGCAGTCTGTGCCGTCTATTGTATGACCACCAGCGTCTGTGGCTACCGAGTCCTAGAAATGTGGCTAGTGTGATTCAGGAACCAAATGTAAATTTAAATTTAAATTTAAACTAAGGCTGTGGTTGGTGGCTATTGACTTAGACAACACAGCTCTAGATGGCCTGAACCTCCAGTCCTCTTGGTTATCACCTTGACAAAGTCCTCCTCCCCAATTAACAGATGAGAAAGTTCAGGACTTGGCCTACAGGTTTTCTTCTGGCCCGTCTCCAGGGAGGCTCCAGCCCTTCCTTGGAAAAAGGGACAGGGACACCGGGCTCTGATGCCCAGGTGGTTACGTGGATACTTTGCACCCAGGTGTGGGCACTCCTGCCTGTGGGTGTCTATGCTATGGGTGCTGGCAGATCAAGAGTCTGCTGGATGCCCCCAAGCAGGGCGGTGTGGTGGTGGGCATTTCCAGCCCCGCTTGGAGCAGCATAGCTTAGGTCTGACGTCTCCCTGTGACAGGCACTCATGGATCACTGTGGGCCTGGCATTGGCGTCCGGTCCTGGAAGCTGATGGTGCCTGTACTCCACTGTGGCAGGGGTGGGGATTTTCTGCCCTCCTCCCCCACAAACGCCGCTGCTGCTGCTGTGCCTGGGGCCTGGCATGTTTAGGCGGGTGGATGGCACAAAGCAGCTTCCTGTCCGGGTAGGCAAGGGGTGGAAGTGGTACCAGGCTCCCTGTGGGCAGTCCAGATTGGGTTTTAGCCCTTTCTCTTGGGTTTTAGCCCCAAGGCTCCTGTGGCAGCACTTCCTTGCTTCGAGGCAGGAATAGAGCCCCCAATTTGTTGAATTAGCTTCAGTTTCCCCATCCGCAAAATGGACTGGTAAGAGGACCCACTGCGGTTGAGCCGGCTGGTGCCCAGCACAGGGCTCCGAGCCCACGTTACTTCCTTTGCCCTGTCTTTTCTGCTCAGGCTGCGCCGGTTCTTTTTTTTGGCACCTTTTTTTTAACTCTGCCTCCCCTGGGCCGGGTTCTCGGAGGAGGGCGGGGGGTGTGGGCGGAGCCTCAACCCTACAGCTGGTGCTTTCTGCCTTCTGATTGGCTCTGTGAGCCAGAGGCGTGGCCTTCACTTTTAATGGGGAAGGCGTCTTCAGCCTCTTCCAGTCTGCCGAGCCTTTGTCTGAGCGTGCTCAGCCCTTCTCTTTCTTTCCTCCCCTGCAGCCGTTGCCGGCGTCCAGCTGCCAATTTTCTGCCTGGATCGCTGTCTCCTCACTTCTCCCGTGTCCTCGTGCAGAAGGCCTTGGGGTATGTAACAGTCATGCCTGTGGACATGCTGTCTCCTGGAGCCCGGGACTCACCCGCCCTGCCTTTCCGCCTGAGGACCAAGGTCCCGGGCTACCTGCTCCGGAGGCCGGCCGACGGTGGAGCCCGGAAACCTAGTGCGGTGGAGCGCCTGGAGGCCGACAAGGCCAAGTACGTCAAGAGCCTGCAGGTGGCCAACACCCGCCAGCAACCTGTGCAGCCGCTGCTGTCCAAGCAGCCGCTCTTCAGCCCTGGGACTCGCCGCACCGTGCTCACTCCTAGCCGCCGAGCCCTGCCGGGCCCCTGCCGCCGGCCCCAGCTGGACCTGGACATCCTTAGCAGCCTTATCGACTTGTGTGATAGCCCGGTGTCCCCTGCCGAGGCTAGCCGCACCCCCGGGCGGGCAGAGGGAGCCCCCCAGGACCCCCCAGCCACCCCTCCACGCCCACCTCCCAGTACCGCTGCCGTCCGCCGAGTGGATGTCCGTCCCCTGCCGGCCTCACCTGCCCAGCCCTGCCCATCACCGGACACTGCCGCCTCCAGTCCAGCCCGGCCCCCGGGTTTGCAGCGCTCCAAGTCAGACCTGAGTGAGCGCTTCTCGCGGGCAGCGGCCGACCTGGAGCGATTTTTTAACTTCTGCGGCCTGGACCCAGAGGAGGCACGGGGGTTGGGTGTGGCACACCTGGCACGAGCCAGCTCAGACATAGTGTCTCTGGCGGGGCCCAGTGCTGGGCCAGGTAGCTCCGAGGGGGGCTGCTCCCACCGCAGCTCGGCCACTATTGAGGAGCGGGCCCGGGAGCGCGTCCCCTATGGCGTGTCCGTGATTGAGCGCAATGCCCGTGTGATCAAGTGGCTGTACGGGTTGCGGCAAGCACGGGAGACTCCAGCGGTGGAGGGATAGGTCTCCACTGGACTCGCATTCGGCACAGGACAGAGCTGAAAGAGGCAGCTGGCCCCTTGAGCTCTCTTTCACCCTTTCCCTGGTTGGAGCAGACCAGAGACCACTGCCTTTGGTGAACTTGGCATGGAGGCAAAGGCTCCGACGCTGGGCCAGCATCCGTCTGGCAAGGACTGACCCTGGAGAGAGTGGCCTCTTGACTTGGCCCACTCCCTCCTCCTCACCTGTCGGGATTTTGCCAGCATTGTCCCTCTGCGTGGTTCCTCTCATGGGCTTGGGGCACTTAGCCCTCCCCCCTGAGTGAGGGGCCAAGGATCCCTACCAGGTCTGTCTACCCCGTGGCTCTGTTTCTTCCTTCCTTCCTTGGCCTCTATCCTTTCCTGACTTCCTCTTCGTCACTCAGTGGGCCCTGGTTCCCTGGGAATTCACCCTAGGGTGGGGGCAGGGAAGAGTGGTCTAGCCACTGTTCTTCCCAGGCCTTGGCAACCTGGCCTAGGTGGGTAGACTACAGGAGGGACTGGTAGAAGCCCTCCTGGCTCTGGCTTCCTTCCCTTTGGTTAATAAACACAAATGCTTGCTTTTTAAAGGTTGGGTCACCAGACTTTTCTGTGTTCACAAGGGGAGGGGAGGGGAGAAGTCTTGGGGTGGGGCCTTCCAAACCTAGTAATTGTTTACCCCAGCAGCTAGTGGGGCATCAGGGAGGCTGGTGCACTTCCCTCAGAGAAGAAGCTGGGTCCAGGCACCCAGTGAGTTGGGAGCGAGCTGGGACTGGGACAGGGGCCTTCCCCTGGAGCAGGAAGGGGAACTGCCGGGGAAAGGCTAACATGGTGACGGACCCTCCCCATCACGGGTGTTCTGACTTCCCCCACTCCCTGCCCAGTTCCAAAGGGGGAAGGAAGCTCAGAGAGGGCAAACCCTGAACTTGAGGTCACATAGGCCATAGATTTGGGGGTTGGAAGTGGGAGTTCTTAGAGGAAGAGGGACTTGTGTGGACAGCACAAAATGAATGGACTTACCTCCAACTCTGAGTGACCCTGGACAAGCCCAGTCTTCTTTGAGTTGAGGGGGAAGGGGAAGGAAGCAGCTGGCACTTGGCTTTGAGGTCCCAGCTCCTTCCTGTCTCTCCAGGTTAGTTACCTGTTAGGAGACCACACTTTGGCTGGTGGAGCAGCCAGAGCTAGAGCTGAGGACACAGGATGAAAGCATGGGTGGCCTCTGCCATCTTTTGGGTGGGAGAGGGGAGGGGCTGGGTGGTGCTTCCTTTCACTCGGGCTGCCTGGGCTGCACCACTCAGAAACAGGAAGCGCTAATGGGGGCCCTAGTGACAGGTTTGATGTCGGTTTTATTTTAGGCATAAAGAGGAGATTTCCGTTGGGCTATTGACAAACTTCCAGGTCAGCCCAGCTGTCTGTCTGTCTCTCTGACAGTCTACCAGCCCCTGGGGGATTAGGCTAGGCCCAGCAGTTCAAGGAAACAAGGGGAAATTGGTATGGAAGAGGATGTTGTTAGAGCCCATGAGAATGAAGTCTTTCCCTGCATGATACAGGTGAAGAACTGAGGCAGGGAAGGCGACCTGCCCACAGGTGCCCAGCAGGTGTGATTATGGAGGGGCTGGGCCTCCTGGTCCCTATGTTAAAGGAGTGATGAGAGCAGATGGATAATCTGGGCAGGCTTTGCAGAGGTGGTATCCTTTGAGGGGTCAAAGGCGAGCACCTCTGGGCAACCTGGCCAGAATTTTGTGCGAATAGTTGCCTTTTCTGTGACCTGCCAGCCCTCAGAAACACAAGAAGGTGAGTATGTTGGCAGCATTTTACATGTGAAGAAATTGAGGCTGGGAGGGCCCTTGTTCCTGGAAGAGGCTTAAGTGCTAGGCTCAGACCCTTTACACTCGTCCTGTCACTAAATCCTCAAGATGGCCCTTCAAGGGTCACCTTAGAAGGTCATCTCTTGTCTTAGAGCAGGAGGGATGGTGGCTGGTGGGCTGCCTCAGACCAGGTCTGCACTCTGGCCTGTGGACACCCCACAGTCAGTGGCACTCTGGTGCTTTTGACACCTGCCTCACTTCTTCCCCATCCTGGCAGCTTTTCCTTCTGGTTACTTTAGTGAGCACCTACTGGGTGCCAAGCAGTGGGTAAGAGAGCCTTGGTCCCCCCTTAATCTTGGGGTGGAGAAGGAAGGGCAGCTAAACAGTAAGCACACAGTCATACAATGTGGAGCAGGTATGTTTAGGAACTTTTGCCTGAAGACCAGAGCTGTTCCCAGGAGCTGGGCGGGTGGTAGCCTTGAAGGGCATTGGGAGAGTCTGTTGGGAAGAGAGCAGGAGGGATTCTTGGAAAGTGGGGAAGGTGCCTGTTTGAGCCTGGACTTCTGCAGCAGAGGTTTCCTAGCTGTGGAGGGCTTCCCTCTGCCAGGAGTTTGGAGCCTACTACCCTCTCATGTAGGGCTCTGTGGAGACACAGCTGTGGCTCCCCCTACTTCCCCCAACCAGCCCACCAGCCTTGCCAGCCTGCCTGCCTCAGGGTCTGCGGAAACAGCCCCTCTATTGTTCTGCCTCCAGTTGGAGTGTGAGGGGCAAGGAGCAGCAGCGGCTGCCTTTCAGCCTTTCAGCCCCTCCGAGGGCCTGCAGCTGCTGCCCCGTCCATCCCCTGGGGCTGCCTGACCCCCATCGCAGCTCCCCCATCGCAGCTCCCCCAGGCCAGATTGGCCCAGCTGCCTAGCCCCTAATTAGGTAGAGATGAGATCTGCCCCCTGCTCTATTTCCCACCAGCTAATTATATACACGTGGGCTTGGGAGACTGGCAACTTGGCTGCTCACTTCTGTCAGGAAGGTGTGATGGGCCTCTGGGAAAGGCACCCAAGGCTACCTGCCAGACTTCAGTTTCCCCACCTGGCAAGGGATGGGGTGTAGCTAGAGGGCCTTGTGACCGTCCCTGGTGAAATGGTTCTGGTTCTGCTACTGAGGCCTTCGAGGGGACCAGGGGAATGATGACTGCATCCTGCCTGACAACAGAGGGAGTATGGAGGGACTGGAGGATCAGGCTATAGGATCCCAGGTAAGGTGGGGACATGGTAACAGCTGTCATACATACACATCGGAGGGCTTAGAGTTGTGTGGGTCCATCCAGGCCCAAGACAGAAGACCCCATTCAGGTTTTTAAAAGTTTAATATTATTTTTCAGATAACATATTCATATATTTCCTCCAACATTTTATTAAGAAAAATTTCAAGCTAAAAGAAAATTTGTGCCCTGGCTGGTTTGGCTCAGTGGTTAGAGTGTCGGCCCTCAGACTGAAGGGTCCTGGGTTCGATACTCGGTCAAGGACACATACCTCAGTGGATGTGTGTCTCTCACATTGATGTTCCTCTCTCTCACTTCCTCTTTCTCCCTTCTCCCTCTCCTCCATTCTCTTTTTTTTTTTTTTTTTTTTTAAAAAAAAAAACAACAATGGAAAAAATATCCTCAGGTGAGGATTTAAAAAAAAAGAACATTTGCAAGAATTATACAATGAACACATATGCCTACCTACAGAGGCTCAATTCTTGATACTTTGCTAGAGTTGCTTTATCAGGCATCTATCATTCTATCCATCTATTAAGACAGCTTATCTTTTTGAAGCTTTTCAAAGTAAGTTGCAAACACTAGTATGTTTCCCCTTAAAGGCACTTCAGCATGCATACCATTAGCTATAGTTCAAAAGTATTTGTTTACAGTTCTTTTGTCTTTGTGGGGGGAGGTAAGATTTACATACAGTGAAATGCATAGATCTTAAAGGTTCCCTTTGCTGAGTTCAGATAAAAACATGCTGTATCCCAATCCCCAATCAGGATACAGAGCAACGCTATCAATGTGGAAAGTTCCCCTGTGTTCCTTCCCTGCTAACCTCTGTCCCCACCTCATGGGTATATCAACATGTCTGTATAAGTTGAATATTACTAATAAAAACCATTCTCTTGCCCTGTCCTTCTCACCCCCAGCCCACCTCTTCCAAGCAACCACATTCAACTCTTTTAACAATTTCTCCTGGTACTTGCCTCCGTATTTCTAAGTGACATACTCCCCCCCCCTTTTTTTTAAAATTAATTTTAGGCAAGTGTTGACCTCCTTTCTGGTCTGATGTCTTCATATATGCCTTCTGCAGCCTGACTGTCTGGCTCGCCATGACTTTGGGCAAATGACTTAACCTTCTTGTGCCTCAGTTTCCACATTTGTAAAATGAGAGTAATATGAATATTTAAGATGCTGGGTTGTTGTGAGGATTCAACATGTAAAGTGTCAAGAATAATGAACATTACCCAGCGAGTGGTCAAAACTGTTCCTTTTTATCATTATTATTGTCAAGGAAGATTGAACCGTTCTCACCCTCCTCTCCTTGGAATCTATAGTTGTCACATTTTTCATTAGATGAATACTAAGTGCTTTTTTTATTGTACCTGTATAAGAATGGTTTCCTGCTAAGCCAAATCACATGTTATGGTTACATTCCTTTCCTGTGCAGCTCTTTGTTGTTGCTTTTTCCTGGAGTTACTACTACCTGCTTTGCTTTTCTTCCCTTAGTTTCCTCTTAACTCATCCTTAATTCTCAGACATCCTCAATTTACACACAGAAGACAAATTATTGAATCTAATTTCTTTCCGGTAACCCTTCCAGGGCTTTTTAACAACCTTCACTTTTTAATAAAAACAGTGGAACCAAGTTAACAAATAGAGTCTCAAGCACAGGGACAACTTGTAAGGTAAGTGTCTGTGAGCACCACTGTGTGTTCCTGCCCACACGGGTCCTACGAGGGCTGAGCGCTGAAGCTGTGGCCCTGCTGCCAGGCCTCCCCATTTACCCAGGGGAACCCCTCAGCACCTCACTGGTCTGCTCACTGGTGCCATCCTATGGCTCATTCACTGCCCTTGGCTTTATTCATCTGTTCATTCAACAAAAGTTTGCCGGGTCCTTCTCTATGCTCTGCACGGTGTCGGCCAGTGCTAGGGACACAGAGCTTGGGCAATGTCCACCCTCCCACTCCCAGGTTGACATTTACATTGACATGTGAGCAGGCAGGAGAATGTTCGGAAGAGGTGTGTGTGTATGTGACCCGTGAGGGGTGTGGGAACGTCTGTGTGGGTGCTGCTAGAGTTTCAATGGAAGGCCATCTGTGTACATTTATGTGCATATGCATATGTGTACGTACAGGTGGTGTCTGCATAGTGTGTATTCACAAGGTATATGGATCAGTTAGTTTTTGCTGCTTAAAATACCACCCTAAACCCAGTGGCCTAAGGTAATTTATTCTATGAATTGGCAATCTAGGCTCAGCTGGGTAGCTCTTCTGGTCTTACCTAGGCTTACTCGTGTAGTTGCAGTCAGTGGGGGCTGGGTGGTCTCGGAGGGCCTCCCCCACATGCCTGGCAGTTGGCAGGCCGTTCGCTGAGGTTCAGTTCCCCTCTCGAGGAGGCTAGCTTGGGCTCATTCACATGGTAATCTCCGAGTTCCATGTTCAGCAAGAGAGGACCAGCTCCATTGCCTTTGATGGTGATTACAAATGTCCCAGACAACATGACGTGGCCAGGTCAGATCCAAGGGATGGAGAAATAG